GGGGGGACGACCATCAGATCGTCAGCCCAGCCAACCTGATGACAATTGGTATGGTGGCTGGGCAGGAGGGCACACCCCTGGCCTGACCCCAGGTCCTACTTCCCCTTCTAGATTGCCCGACAGCTAGGCCAAGGCCTTGCAGACCTGAACTGAGCTGTGCCAGGGGGCGGGGGGGAGGGGGGGGATCTGTATGCTCAGTGAACTTATCCTCTTTCCTTTTCTCAAATAACTAGCTTAAGGGGAAGTGGAGGGGTAGGCAGAAAGGAGTTGCACAAGTTCCCATTTCTAAGCCCCTCCTTGCGCTGTTAGCAGACACAAGCAGGAGACAGTTCAGTCCTCCAGGCTGGAGCAGCACCTCCAGATATTCAGGGAAACAGTGGGGCACATTTCTTAGAAATGCTGATTGGAGACCCCTCCCTAGGCCTCCATTGCCACTTCCTGAAGACCAAGGGTAGCCCTCCTCCCCACCAAGAAGCAGAGTCCAAAGTCCTTCTTCCCCAGCTCTAGAAATCCTGCCTGTCGTACACTTGAATTCCTGCTAAAATAAAATCAGGTGCCGCACAACATGTGACAAAAAGTCATTTGACAACTAGAGCCCATTGAGACTTGGGTCAAGATCACAGGGTGTTAGAACCAACAGGCACTGTGAAGTTCATGGGCAACTGAAGTGGTACAAAGTGGGTTTTTGCATTAAACCAGCAGCCTTTGAAGAATTCTTTTCAAACACCTTCCCTTACTGGCACAGTCCTGAGAGTCAGGGGGAGCTTATGCTATCAACCCCATTAGCAGAATGGTAAACTGAGGCTCCCAGTAATTACAATCTTTTTTTTTTTGAGAGAGAGGTTTATTTCTTTATTTATTTTTTGCTATAGGGCGCGTGCGCTCGCCAGACAGACAGAAAGCGAGAAATCCACCCCCCCCAGGGTATGGCCCGCCGCAATCCCTTCTCCTCCATTCTCCTCTCGGGAGCTTGGGCACGCACACACACATGCCCAGCATGAGTTTAAACCACCCGGTCCAGGACTCGAATCACGGTCGACTACACGAGAGTCCAGCGACATAGCCGTTACGCTAACTGCTGGTCCCCCAGTAATTACAATCTTGACAGTGAGCTGAAAGAGAAGCCAGTGGACAAACTGAACAACTGGCTAAGAACAGGACTTCCCGTTCTCAAATCCACTGTCCTTTCAATGGCACTGTTTTTAGGAGAAGCTAGTTTGAATACAGACATTAAGTAACATGTGGACATCTGGGAGTCATAGGAGTGCAATTGAGAACCGGTGGCCTGGGGTGCAGGCCTGATCACCACTTGCAGACCAGGCCTATGAGAGCTGCATACAGCCTGTGTGCCTCAGTTTCCTTGTGTGAATACCTTCGAATGGCTCCTTGTTTGTGGCTAGCTCCCTGTAAGCATCAGTATTCTACCCGGCAGTGAGAAGGCTCCCAGACAAAGAAGTTCCCGCTGACATCCTCAGGGCTGAGCTGCATACGGAGGAGGATCAATATCCGGCGAGGAGCAGCCCTCTGTCTCCTCATTTGTTTTCCTTGTCTTGTTTTAATATCATGGTGCTGCCAATCAAACCACATAACGAGTTTGGGGTAATGTGTGTGTGCTTCCTTAAGAATGCCAGCCCTGCCTTGCCTTCGAGCTAAATGGCAAAATGAAGTCTTTATTTTTCCATCCACATGGCTTCCTCTGTGTCTCATTTTCAATTTTATTTTACCAACTGTTTTTCTGTTTGTTTGTTTCCCCCCCCCCATAGGGCGTTTGTGCTCCCCAGAGAGAGAGATAGAGAGGAGAAAGTGAGAAATCACCCTCTGGAGGGGGATGGCCATGTGTCCATCCATTCTCCGTTCTCTGCTCAGGATTTGGGGCATGGGCACACATGCATCAGCATGATTTTTAAGCCACTAGGTCTGGGATTCAAACTGTGGTCCGCCATGTGGGAGTCTAACGCCCTAACCACTATGCAACCTGCTGCCTCACCCCATTTTTTAAAATATCTGCACTCTGTTTCTGAGTCAAGGATAAAGAATTGGCAAAACTATTCTCTGTGGACACAGAGCCCTATGCTCTCCTGACAGTGCCGCTTGACGGTCTTCCTGTGCTCGTGGGCTGCAGTTGCTTCCCCACAGTCAGAAATGGTTGATCTGGACATGTGCTTCTCCTGACGCCAGCAAGGATGGGGCTGTCCAGCTCTCCCCTTGGCAGGGCTCAAGTGCCACTTCATGCCCAGCCCCTCTGCTTTGTTGCTGCTGAAGATTAATGAACAACGAAAGGTATAATGAACCGTACGTTCAGATGTAAAATGATCACAAGCCAGACTTTTACTTGACTCATTAGCTGAGGGAACTGGTAAGATGTTGCCCAGCTCAAAAGAGAAATCAAAGCACCATAGAAGTGTATGGAGCAGAGGAATGTCAAAATGGATTCTCAAGTGGACACGCAATTTTCCACTGCAGGAATCAGTGTAATCTCATTTGCTTATTCCAAGTTTCCTCACAGCCTCCCTGCCTTTTGTCAGAAATCATCTCAAAGAAAGCTTGCTCTTCACAGAATGATGTTGTTCTCCTGAGGTTGGCTTGGCCATCTGCGCTGGGCAGCGAGAGTGCCAATATGCAGAGTGGGCCTTTCGACTTTGCTTCTCTGGTAGACTTCCTGACCGGGCTTTTCACAGTCTGTTATTTGCTGTCCTGAGGCTACAGAGCCAGGCACAGAGAGCCCCTCCTCTAGATTTCTCTCCCAGATCTCATCTCTGCTACCTAGAAATTCGGGCGAACTCCTCTCTTCTCAGAGTCCCCAGAATATTCCTGGGCTTCCGGCTTGCCAAAAGGTCAAGCTGTTCCTCCCATCTGGGAGGCTGTGCCTCTGAAAACCAGCTTAGCTCTCCAAGAGGACTTGATAGGCATTGGCTCTGTACTGTCACCCTCGGCTCCACAAGAGTGCCTCTGTGACACCAGAGCAAATGAGCACCCTCAAATACGACTCTCGGGCAAAGCCTTGGTTGCACAAACCTCCCCAGTTACATTCCTCTGAAAAGGATGGCAGGTTCTTACTGAACCTTTGCAAATAGCTATTGCCGTGAAAAGGAAAGATTTTTTAAAAATTCTGAATTTGGGGAGTAGAGAGCAAACAGTCAAAATCAGGTATCATTTTTAAATGCCTCATTTTAGTTTATAAGAGCCTATCGGGTTGTCAGAAAAGTCATGATATATTTTTTTTTTCTGTTTTTCTATGCAAAAATGTCTCATGGCTTTTCTGACAACTCAATAGCTTATTTAGGATTCTTGGGAGTTTAAGAAGAAAGAGAGAGGGGCTTCCCCATAGGGTCAGAACATCAAACATTAACACATCAACAATGCTGCAAGCAGCTCCAGTACAATTTCTCTCCTCGCTTCATTCAGTCCTCCGTAATTGCTTCTTCTGCTGGGGGTTGTATTAGCGCTCAGGAAGTTGTCTGTTTCTCAAATAGAAGAACTCTGGAAATCCAGACCAGCCCACTGGGGGTCTGAACACTACCTCACAGAGGCCATCAGAAGTTTATGCTTTGGGGAGTCAGGAGTTTGGGGTGCCTGTGCAGTCCTTCCCTGTGGGGCTCTGAGCTTCTTCATCAAAGTCACAGATTCCCCCAGCAGTGGGCTCAGCGGAGGCTGCCGCCATGAGTCCTAACCCAGAATGAGAGGGGAGAAGGATGTCCTGGGGAGGGAGCTCAGAGCAAGAGCCTGTGACGGGAAAGTTTGGCCAGGCCACAGGCTAGAAGGGGACAAACCCCAGGCCCTCGCTTGTCTTTCCAAGGAGGTAGACTGTCCTGTGGGTCTAAAGGTTCTGCAGAGAAAAGTGGCACCATCAGGGAGATTTGGTGGGTAGTGTGATGAGACTGGATGTGGGCCCAGTGAGGAGGTACTGCAACCATCCAGGTACACAGGACTGAGCCGGGGCAGCAGCCCGGGGGGAGCAGATGTGCGGACGTCAGTGACTACAGACACACGGCATGGCCTCACTCATCCAGCTGTCACTGCTGGTGCAGGTCCCATGGGCCGTGATCAGCAAGGTGTGAACAGAACCTGCTGCTCTGACTTATCGAGGCTGGTCCAGCAGTCCGCAGAAGGTGATGTTGTTCAAGAGGGGTTAAGTCATGGGGAGAAATATCTGTTTTCTGTATTTCACTGTTGCCAAGTACAGGAAGAAGCAGACCAACCTTAGCTGAAAAAAATGATGCTCTGGGCATCAGAAATAGCTGTCTTCTCAAGAGTGCTCAGTCATGCCAGGGCTGATGACACACAGGGGCTCACAGCAATGAGCCAGGAAAATAGGCTCAAACGAGGGCTTGTGTGTGCAAGGTTCCATGTGCAGGGCAACCCTGGGGAAACCACCCTCACCATAGTTGGTATCTGAGCAAGATTCAGAACCAAGATCCACAGTTGGGACCCTTCGGAAGAAGGATGCCAATGCAGAAGTCGGCGTTTCTCTCCTGTCGAGCTGTGGCCGGTCACCCGGAAGTGGGCCCTGTTACCTCAATGTGCAGTCTGTTTTACGGTGATTCACAACAAGACAATGCTTGAGTCATTCATTTTAATCCCCTCAGTCTCCAAATACTAAAAGGCAATCCATTTTTAATATATTTTTCTTTTTTAGCTAATGAACTTAAATTTGTCTTTTTTTTTTTAACATAAGGGCCCCCAGGAGATGCCATTAGCCTGAGTTGTCGGCCCTGCCTCACACATCATCCACGATGCGCCACAGGACAGCAAAGTCACAGGCAGACGTGTCAACAGGGGTGGCCACTTTATTTGTCACAGTTCTTCACTAAACAGGACAAAGATGTTTGCACAGCACACATACATTGGCCAAATGAGAAGATGTACACGTAACATCACACTACCCACAGGGATGGTTTTAAAATAAGCCTTCAGGTTGGAACGGGCTAGGAAGCACGTGCAGAATGACATCACAGTGGAAGGCTGCCCACACCTCATGCCTTTGCTTCTCTGTTTGGCAGGTGGTCTTCAGCAAGTACTGCAACTCCAGCGATATCATGGACCTGTTCTGCATCGCCACCGGCCTGCCTCGGTGAGTGCCCCCCATGGTCCCACAGGGTGGCACAGCATGGCTTCCAACCTTTCCGTTCACCTGGCAGGAAGGGACCTGAGAAGGAAGGAGGCACCAAAGGTCCCCAGGGCTCACCTCCCACACAGAAGCTCTTGCCAGTCAATGACCAACGCTCTGGAGGAGGCTCAACCACAGTTGCTGCCCGCACCTGTCAACAGGGGTTGGCTGTGTCCACAGGGAGGAAACCACTGGGCTGGATTAAAGAGATACCGTCTTTACAGTGGGACTCTTTTCCCTTCATTTATTCATTCATTTTGGAGAAAGGAGGATGGTTGTGTTTGGGGTTGGTCCCAACTCCAGCTCATCCACGAGGCGCCTGTTCTGAGAGGCTTAGTATAGAGCGACATTCAGCAAAAGACTTCAGAAATGGCTCAGAGAGACCAATGATCTACCTTACAGAATCATCAGAATTCTCTAACAGTTAGTCTCCTAAATCAACAGTTTATTCAAGCACCTGAATTTTCTAATTGTTAAAAATGATTACAATAATATTATTAAAATTATAAAGTAAAATGATGAATAATTATCTTAGCTTTCCAGTGACAAATGACAATCAGACATAGCTTTGGCATGACAATTAACATTAAAGTTAAGATCAATGAAGAGAAGGATAATTGGCATTTTTCCACAGATAGGTAAAAAAAAAAAAAAAGGAGAGTCAGGAGAGGAAATGACATGCCTGAAATTGCAGGAAATGGCAGAGTTTGTGGCAGCGAAAATTGCCCACAGTTTGGGGTATGTTTTGGGCACCATATATTAAGCTCTGTACTAAGAAATATATATATTTTATATACACAATATATTACTATCTAAGAATAATATGTCTATGTTTGTACCACTTTATTTTAATTTAAATAAATTGCTTAAGTTCTCTGATGTCTTCACTTATGAATCTTAATAATCTCAGGGTTGTTTTAAAGACTAATGTGTGTGTGTGTATCTTATAAATTTATTTGCACATAATTTATGTTTTATATGTTTATATAAAGACCATATGTAAATATATATATTGGGTCATCAGGAAGAGTCATGACGTATTTTTCTATGCCAAAATGTATCATGACTTTCCTAATGACCCAATAATATAACTTATATAAATATATAATATTTAAATGTCTCAATATATAAGTTACATATAAATATATAACTTCTAAAAGTATATAAATATATAAATTACATGTAAATATTTATAATGTATATAAATTACTTATAAATATACAAAAATATATTTGTATATGCACACATAATTCTTTATAACAGCCCTGTGATTACTAAAATTCATCAGTGAAGATCAGAGATCTTAAGTAACTTGGTCAAAGTAGCACAGCTCATAAAAGGCTCCAAAAGCTTACCATTTGTATCTATTTCTTAGGGGGATTTATGCCCATTTAGATGGACTCCCAAAGGCACTGGAGCTAGAAGGCAAACCACAATTACATCATCTGTGGATGTTAATGTTAGTTTCTATTTTACCATAGTTTTTAAAAATCAACCAACTCAATAAATTACACCAACTCAATACATTAGACTTGCTCCAATTCTCATGATAAATTTTTTTAGAGGTTTTTGCTATAGGGCTTGTGTGCTTGCCAGAAAGACAGAGAAAGAGAGACAGAAAGCGAGAAATCACCCCCCCCCAAGGAGGGGATGGTCACACCGCAATCCCTTCTCCTCCATTCTCCTTTCAGGATCTTGGGCACACACACACACGTGCCCGGCGTGAGTTTAAGCCACCTGGTCCAGGACTCGAACCACGGTCGGCTACATGGGAGTTCAGTGACATAGCCATTACGCTAACTGCTGGCCCCATGATAAATTACTTAAAAATCTACAAGCACTTAGAATTACACACACCACTTAATTTTATGTGGAAATGGGGTGTCAACATCCCACCCTTTCTGTCCTCACTACCCTGTGAAAGATTGGTCTCCAGGACTCATGTTTCTGTTCTGAGTTTATGTGAGACCCGAGTTCAGATGTGTACCCCAGAGCACATTCTGGTGGAAAACAGGGACTTGCGTGTGTCTTTCAGGAACACGACCATCTCCCTCCTGACCACAGATGATGCCATGGTCTCCATCGACCCCACCATGCCCGCCAACTCAGAACGGTAAGGGGCCCTGTCGGTGTCATCAGCTCATTCTCAGAGCGTGTCTGACGCTTCTCTGCCTGATATGTGAGAGTTTCTGTGACTTCTTGAAAATTTGCTACCGCAGGGAAGTCTGAATGTAAGCAGAGGTAGAGGGTGAGGGTGGATGAAGGCTGCTTACTTCAGTTTGTTCCTTTGCGGGAGAGTTTGTCACTTTCTAAGATAATGTATAGGCAGGACACTACACCCAGTTCTCAGCAGAAGCTCTGAGGGGAGGCATTGCACAGGTGGGGAAACTGAGGTATGGGAGGCTTAGCGACTAGCAGTCGATCCAGGGTCCAAGAAGGGCTGCGGGAGATTCAGCGACCAGAGCTCCTGGGAGACATTCACATTTACCCACTTGTGCCTGTCCCAGTGTCCATAGTGCAGTGCGTGCTGGAAGAGTCCATGCACACAGTAGGGAAGAAGGCTGGGGCTTCAGGTGGAACCAGAACACAGGCGTCACCTAGAAAAGCAAGAATGCACTTGGAATATGTATGAAACAGGTAAAGGCAGCTGTGTGGCCGGAGGAAGGACACCAAGCAGGGCCCTGTGAGAGCAGTGCCTGTCCCTTTTCCAGCGGCCCAGAAAATCCCCAGCAGGCTCTGCGTTGGTGCTTGGGCAACACACGGCTTCAGTGGGTTCTTGCCAGGCAGCAGCAGTGGAGCCACTGGACACGGGGCACTCTTCAGGACACCTCTCCATTGTCGTCAACCCTCTGTGGGGCTCAGTGGGTACCCTGGGACTATTTGTTAATCTGGTCATGAGACCATCCTGCCAGCCTGGCCCACGGGCGGGGGCTGCACCAGGGAAACCCTTGTGTGTGCCATGGCTGCTGAACGAAGCCTTGAAACATGTGAGCTGTGCTGAGAGCAACCTGGGACCTCTGCTAGCCCCCAAGGGGTTCCCCAGGTATGTGCACACCTGAGTGGAGAGGATAGGTACTCCTTCCTCCTACCCCAGAGGATTGCTGTCCTGGTCCACAAGTCCCAGAGGACAGAGCTGGTGCTGTCCCAGCCAGAGGCCAGGCCTTCTCCTCGCCTCACTGAGCCCATCAGTGCCCTTTTGTCTTCACCAGGCGGCCTGTCTGCCTGCATGCTCTCTTGCGCTAATCCTTGGCTTCTGGGCTCCCTGGAGGGGCAGTGCTAATTGGCTCCCCAAAGACTCCACTCAGAGCCGTAAATCCAGCACCAACTGCAGCCTGACCCAGCTCTCCTTTCAGAAGGAAAGGCTCCTGGCACAGCGATGGTGGTGCACACTGGCTGGCGCTGTTGCTCGGCAGGCTGAGGCCATGAGGGAGGCCTGGGTTCAAACCTCAGCCCACCCTGAAAGCAGGATGCAGTGACATGTACCTCTAGTGCCAGCTGCCTAGAAGGCTGAGGCAGAGGATGGCAGCATAGTGAGACTGTCACCAAAAAAGAAAGAGAGAGAGAGAGAAAGAAGCCAAAGGGACTATTTCCACCTCCTTCCCCTTTGCCTTCTGCATTTGACCTTGCTGACCTTTCTTCTTTGTTGAAACTGCCTCTTTCAGCTTCTCCCCTTCTTTCTCTAGCCCTTCCCTCCCTCCCAGCCTGTCACCGTGGCTGTTCTGAGTTTGCTTCCCTCCCCGTTGCTCTCTCTTTCTCTCCCTTTTCAGTCCCGAGTAAGGCCATGCCCAGATGCCCAGTGTCTCTCCCACCCTGTCGCCCCACGCATCAGGTGCAGCCTGGTGTCCCGCCATCGCCTCGCACTCCACTTGGGAGGGAGCTCGGCACCTTCTCTGAGTCTCCATGCTGGGACCGGAGCGCCGTCGGGAGAGGGTGACCAGGCTGGGTAGTGACTGCCCACAGCTCCACCAGGTGAGGTGGCACCGGAGACCTTGGATCAGTCTCCGCGGAGGTGGCCGAGCTCCCACAGAGAACGCCCCTGGGCAGATGAGCCTGGGCTGTGCAACGAGCCACTCAAGGGCACTCTGACAGCTCCACGGTTTGAAACTAGGTCAACCAAACAGTGCCTTTCAGCCCTGGCCGCAGTTTAAAACCACCCAGACATCTTTTACAAAGTGTCGATTGCCAACTAGATCTCACCTAGGACCAATTGCATCCAGACATTCTAGAGATCTTCTTAAAGCTCCAGAAGTGACGATAGCATGCAGCCTGGGCTGAGAACCGCCAATGCAAAGTGGGGAAAACCTAAGAAACCAGTCTTGCCCAAGGGTGCCCAGCCCTCTAGTGACCTGGCAGTCCTCTCTGCAGACTCGGGGTCTTCCCCACCTGGCATGTGAACAAACTGTTTCTTCCCAGCAGGCAATAGCCAGCCCTTCCCCCACTGGTTAAGACAGGCCTATCCACAGTGAGGTCAGGGGTTGTGTCCCTCTTCAGCACCCTCCACTTCTAAAGCCACTCGGCTTGGACTAGATCACCTCCTAGTCTCCTCAGACTGGGACTTAGGAGCCACCTCTCAGGAAGGGACTCCCCACAGAAGCTAGGTAAGATGCTTAGATGCTTAGATTCTTCCACTCGCATGCTCAGAGGATGGGCTTGTCACAGAACCTTCTCCAGATTTAAGGGCTTCTGACTGAGTTCCGCAATACTGATCGGATTTGGTTTCCCAATTGCTCTCTCTTTTAAGGTCTAAAACTTTCCTGGCCCTCATTTCAAATGAAAAATCATGACAGCCTGATAGTTCCTTCAAAATATTGGGTCATCAGGGGCCAGCAGTTACCATAATGGGTATGCCACTGGACTCCCATGTAGTCGACCGCAGTTCTTGTCCTGGACCCAGTGGCTTAAACTCATGCCGGGCGCATGTGTGTGCATGCCCAAGATCCCGAGAAGAGAATGGAAGAGAAGGGATTGTGGCGTGACCATTCCCCCTGGGGGGTGATTTCTCACTTTCTATCTCTCTGTCTCTGTCTGTCTGGCGAGCGCACATGCCCTATAGCAAAAAAAGAAAAACCTCTCCAAAAAAAAAAATATTGGGTCATCAGAAAAGTCGTGATTTTTTTTTAATCTTTTCTATGCAAAAATGCATCACAACTTTTCCAACGACCCAATACCTGCAGCCTTACCACCGTCCCGGTAATAATTGTTTCTTTTTTTATTGCTAGAGAGCATGTGCACTCAGAAGAGAGAGACAACCTTTCCCCCAGGAGTGTGGTCACATTGCAGTCACCTCTCCAATTCTTCATCCTGTTGGGACTTGGGGCATGCATGGACACACACTCAGTATGTTTCTCAAGTTGCTGAGACCAGGACTCGAACCACTGTTGGCCATGTGGGATCTGATTCCCTTAACCACTGGGATGGGAGGCCACCCACCACCTTCCTTTAAATTGCTACACCCAACCCTAGTGTAGATGGTGCAGCTCAGAGATGGCTGTCCTGGTTGTACCTCCTGGACCCCCCAACTCTGGTCTAGCCTGCCTTCCAGAATGACTAGCCTTATACTCTGCTTTTATCCCACTGCTCCCAAACATGGAACTCTGAGGAGCCTGTTAGCTTTAGACATTGTCAGACCCCTGTGTCTGGAACGTCTGGCCCCACCCCTCCAAACGTACTCTTCTCCAAGTCTGCCAGCTTGCCAGGGTGCCCGCCAGCCCTCCCCCCGCTCTGCTCACTATTCTGCAAATGCCCAAGCAGCTCCCCTCTGTGCCCTGTGAGGACTGCCCCTCCTTCGGCCTGGGACTCCACTGTGGCTGCACAGCCCTTCCCAGGCTTCCTGGATATCTGATGCAATCAGGAGAACATTCCAACAGCATCTGCACAACCAGGAACCGTCTACAGCAGTCAGAGGGCTCCAGCAGGACAATAGGCTGATTAGCTTCCTCTCTGTTTGGGAGCTAGCTAGAAAGATGATTGATTACTGAACTACCCCTGATCCCTAGCAAGCGGAAAATAAATATGAACAGACATATCCTAACTTAGATCTAATAATGCCCCAGTAGAATAATGATCAGCCTCCTTTCTGATGGGGGGAATGTCCTAGATGCTGTGACATCCAGCTCACACGGGAGTGACTTCTCCACCACCCCGCCTCTTGCATTTGTCCCCTCTGCTCATAGTCAAGGATAGGAACAGGCAGGGCACATGGAGAGGGGAGACGGCCAGGGTGACAAGCACGCTGAGACATGACACGAATGCTCCTTTTGTTTGTGGCATTAGCCAAGTTGTGCTCCATGAGAGTGCCCAGGTGGAATGACCCTGCACCTGCCATGAGGGCAGCAGGCGGCCATTCCCTCCACTAAGGTATGAGCCCTCTGGGTTCCGGATGGCTCTGGGCCTCCTCCTCCTTGGAACCCAGAGAGTTCAACTTCAGAACAAGCAAATGCAGTAGAAGTTCAGTATTTATCCCTGCCAAAGAGGGAGTGTTTATATTAATCTTGTTGCTGAGGACGAGAACAACGAAGATGCAGCTCAGTTGAGACTGAGTTTATTCAATCAGGGACACAACTTAACTGGTTCTGAGAAACATGGTGTGTTCAAGGCTAAGACCATTAGGGAGCTAGGAGCCAGGACTCATCATGAGTGGCTCGGGAGTGCAGACCAAGAGCCTGGAAGGTTCCGCGGCTCCTTGGGGTGTCCCCCACAGTCTCCACACGCCTGCTTCTCCCTCCTTCTCTGTCTTGGCAGCTTGGGTCCCCTAGCTTCCCAGAGCCCACTGGGTGGTTGGCCTCTGTGAGCCTCAGCAGCTGGCAGGTGTCCCCCACTCGGGTGGCAAGCAGTTTGAGGGCCATGGCAGCATGGGAGGGTCTCTGATAAGCCTGTCCTCAGGCAGGTGCATGGGGCATCCTTTCTTGGCATCTCTTACATGGGAGAAATGGCTGGGCACAGCTCTCCTGCTCTGTCCCCGCCTGCAGCAATGAGTTCACAGTCTCTGTCCGAGACCCCTGACTCCTCCCATGCCTAGCATTGCTTTTACAGATCAGGGACAAGAGCAAGGAGGAGAGAAGGAAAAGTCTTGGCTGCCCCTTGAGGAGGGGAGGGACACAGGTAGGAAAGGAGGGCTGAGGGGGGCAAGAGGAAGGGAAAGTCCCCCACTGGCTGAGGGACCCCTGGCTCACCCCATGGCACCCACTGCCCTACAGTCAGAGGGATGTGAGACACCAAAGGGAGAGGCACAGAGGAGACAGAGGAGGGAGCCAGGGCTCAGAGCATGGGCTCTGGCCTGCAGGCCCTATGAGGCCATCTGGTCACTGAGCTTCAAGTCCTGTGAACCTGAAGGACAGTGTGACCTGGAGGACAGGCCTGCCTAGCTAATGACAGAGGCAGGTGGAGTTCTGGGTGCTGATCAAGGTCAGGGACGTTCCCCTGAGGAACCTGGTGGCCTCCGCCCACACTTAGGGCTTCCTGACCCACTGGTATGGGCTCTAACAAATCTGATCAGTATCATGTTATTTTTTTCATTAAACTTTCTATGTTGAGATCACAGTGAATTAGCATACTGAAGTAAAAGCAAATGCAGAGAGATCTCATATGCCCTTTACCCAGTTTCTCCCATGGTAGTATGTTGCAAAACTATAGTATAATAGCATGACCAGAATACTAACATTGGAACAGTTCATCAATCTTACCCCTTCAGGGTCTTAGCCAGTCTAGACAAGACCCAGACACCTCCTGTGACCTGGTCTCTGGAGAGAAGTTAGTCCCATGGTCCAAGCAACTAGCTTCCAACAGGCCTTCCAAGCAGGAGCCGGGGCCCTGGGAGGCGGGAGGTGACTCACTTCTCCACCCACAGCCCACTAGGCAGGAGCCACTCCAGGGGGACTAGAGATCGCACAGTGTCACTGTCCACCCTCCATGGGGCCTGAAGCTCTTATTGTGATACTTCATTAGTGTTTAACATTGTAAAGATTTTCCATGTTGCCCATGGATCACTTAGCTGCAGGCATCGCCCTAATGAATCGCCGCTAACGGTTTCTGCACAGGACTCTCGTTTTCTGTGCTTCCGGAAATGAGCTCACGTTCCAGTGTTACTCTGTGGCACTGTTTTTACCTGGTATCACATTCCTCAGGTCAGTTCTTGTTCAGGAACCTTCATCTTTTTAACAGGTGAATGACACTCTGCAGGTCCCACTCTGGGCTGCAACAAAACAAACGGGTGGCTGGAGAAACAGACAGGGTTCCACACAGTGCTGGAGCTGCCAGTCCCAGGGCAGGGCCAGGTCCTGGTGAGAGCTGTCTTCCTGGGTTGCTGGGTCCTCACATGGCAGAGGGTGAGAGACCTCTATCCCCTTCATCCCTGGACCCCATTCGTGGGGGCCCCACCCTTACTTCCTGTCCAGACTCAGTACCGTGCCGAAGGCCCCACCTCCTCATCCCTCATACTGGGGACTGAGGCCTCACCATGTGCATCTGGAGGCACACAAACACTCTGTCCATAACCACAGAAGGTGATCGCTGTGTTGCCAGGACGGAGCTATTTGAACAACTGGCGATGCTCAGCCTGGCAACCTGCACCTGAGTGTGGGAGGTCCGCTCTGCGGGAAGGGCATTTCCGTCTTGACTACTGTTCTGTCACGGCACCTGGCTACTGTGGGCACTCTGTAAAACATGACCGAATGAGTGGATGAAGATGTGAAAGTCATGAACAAATGGCAGGACTATGTCCTTACGTTTCCTTTTGATACCTTTGTTCCTACATTCATTGGCTGAGACCAAGGACCGCCTATCTGAAATGTTCATCTGTGTTGCTAGGTGGCTTTTCCCAAGGTTGCAGCAATCCAGATGACTCCAGCAGTCCCTGGGAGGGCCTGTTTCTCTGTGCCCTTGTAGCACTCCCCCTAGCAGGATTTTTGTTTGTTCACTTGTTTGTTTTTAGAGAGAGATTTTTTGCTATAGGCATGCATGCACTCACTGGAGAGACACAGATAGAGAGGCAGAAAGCAAGAAGTCACCTCCCTGGAGGGGATGGCCATGCTGCAATCCCTCCTCCTCCATTCTCTTTCTGGGATTGTGAGCATGCACACGTGAATGGTAAGCCGCCAGGTCTGGGAATCACAGCCGACTCTGTGGGAGTCCAGCAACGTAATTATTAGGCCATCTGCTGGTCCTCGCTTGGCAAGTTTTTAACATTTCCTAAACTGCTGGTTAAGATGAGAGCATCTCTTGAGATTCGCCTTGCTTGTTTCTTCTGCTCCTGTTGGTCACTGCCTGTTCCTGTTCTTTGCCTCTTTTCCATTGGCTTAATGGTCTCTTCCTACCCCTTTGGGTGGTCCTTGTACCTTTTGCTGTCCTACAAATTGCCGGGATTCTTCTCTCCCCATCCATTCTGGGTCTTCTGTTCCCTGGGGGTGGCATCACCAAGGCTTCAGTGCATCTTGATTAAATCTCTGACACTGTCCCCCCTGGTTCATTTGGGGGATACAGTCGCCAAGACCTGAACCAGCTAGAGCGAGGGCGCCGCCTGCGTGGGCCAGGCGCTAGGCGGAACGGCCACTTCGTCAGTCTGCCCGTTGTCAGTGGACATTACGCTTTGATCAGTCGTGGCTCTGATGACAGAATAATCTGTTTTATTGACCAAATATGAACATGATAGAGAAAGTTCATCCTTTAAATGGTTTAGAATTTATCTAGACGAGGTGGCTCAGAATGGCCAAAGAAACTAATTTCAGAAAAAAACCTAATCCACTGAGTTCTAATCCACTCCAAGCGCTTATCTCTCACAGCAGACATGCAGCCAGCGTCTTTGACAGCCTCTTACGGTGGAACTGTCCTCTCTTTTACAGCACTCCCTACAAAGTGAGACCAGTGGCTGTCAAGCAACTCTCTGGTAAGGCTCTACTACCATTTTTACAATTCCAAGTAAATAATGATAATCATAATAAATTAAAAAGCTCCAGCTTGATCCTATGATTAAATATATGTTAGTTAAGCATTTGAATCTATAGCCTGATACCAGCACAGTCTGAAGCCTTAGACTCCGGTAGGGACTCTGCCCACGTGAACGTCTTCACTCCATCCCCGGGGACTTAGCAGTTAGATGCCAGGTGATGCTCTGCTCCGGTCTTCCTGGGCCTGCTGCCTGCCTTCCCATCTGTTGCGAGCCACAAAGATAGGCCAGTGCCGCCTTGCAAGGTGCCTCGGGGTGTCTCAGACCGTGGATTGTGATGTTTTGTTTTGAAATCCCCTCTCCTTTTGGATTCTTTATCACTTTCGCTTATGTGTGATATATGCACGTCAGCCTAAAAAGGAAGGCTGAGGCGAAGTAAGTAAAGCAAGAGAGCTTATCTGGACCAGGGTTAGGACGACGCCAGCACCATTAGATCCAAGTTGCCCTGAATAATGCGTACAGAGGTCTTCCAGATGTCAGGGTGATTTTAAAGCCAAAAAGCATGGGTGGGAGTGGGGAATAGCAAGGAGTCTTGTCCAGTAGTGACTGGCTAAATTCTGTGATAAGGGCAGCACGGTGACCTCATGGTGACATGGAGTCACTTTGCTTAATCTCAACCAAAGTGTGAAGACAGTCAGTCTGGAGACACAGCTGATGGAAGGTAAATGAACGATGTGTTTGGGCAATAGAATACTCATAAAACAAAAGCTCCACTGAGTCTAGGCAGTATCTTGAGCGATTTCAGGTGCACATTCCCAAGAAAGCCACAAGATGCATGTAAGTTTTATTTCCTTATAATGCTGACTTGGGTAGCCTGGAGTCTCCTGTTTTCAAGAGAACCTGTTGTATTTTGTGATCTACCAGCTTCCTTCAAGTTTCAGTTTGATAATGTGATATTTTAGTGTGAGTGACTGCATTTTGGTCTGGTCCATTGGGAACTAGAGCGGGACCTTATTCCAAAATGTTAGCCTCCTGTATCATTTATTTAACATGCACAATAAAATGCTCTCATCTAAGTGTAAATTTCGATGACTTTCAAAAACCTCTTAAACCCTTTTAACCGCCACGAAGATTAAGACCCAGAGACATCTGTACCACCTGGGAAAGTTTCCTCATGTCTTTTCCCATTATTTCCTTCTTCTCACTCCTTGGCTCACTCAACAACTGACCCGCTTTCCGGCACCATTGCTCTGATCTGTCTTTTCATATAAAACTTCTTATGTAGCAAGTGTACTCTTTGTTGACTCAACATGTTTTGAGACTCACCACATTGTTGTGTGGATAGACCATTTATTTTACTACTGAATAGTGTTCCATGGTGTGGCTGTATGTACCATGATGTGCTTTTTGTTCACTATGGATGGACATTTGGGTTGTTTCCAATTTGGGGTCTTTTATGAACAAGGCTGCTGTGAGCATTAAAGCACAAGTATTTGTGGGGACATGTATTTTCCTTTCACTTAAATAAATAATTAAGTGTGTGATGTTGGGTCATATAGTTAAGAATATGCTTTGCAAAAACTGCCAGTGTTTTCCAAAGCAGCTGTATCATTTTGCATCCCACCAACCACATATGAGAGTTCTAGTTGGCTCACATTCCCACCAACACTTAGTATTGTCACTCTCTCTCTTTTTTTTTTTTTTATCTTCAATTTTTTTGGTAGAAGGCACATGTGCTCACCAGAGAGAGCAGGGGAAGCACATGGGGAATTGTTCATCTTTTTTCCTTCATTTCTCCCTCCTTTCAGGATTTTGGGCATGTACACATACATGGCATGATTTTTGAGCTGCCAGGTCTGGGTCTTGAACTGTATGGTCAGCCATGTGGGCACTGACTGCCTCAACCACCAGACTAGGGAGCTAACCCAGTCGCTCTTTTATTTTAATCATTCTAATGAGTGTATAGTGATATTGATTGCGAATTTTTAGTGATTACTGTTGGTAAGTGCAACCATTTAGATTCGAGTACTTTCTGGCCATTCCTAAACCTTTTTTTATGACGTATCTATTCAAATCTTTTGTGTTTTTTTGTTGTAGTGGTTGAATTGCTTGAGTTGTGAGTGCTCTTGATATATTTAGGATCCACACCCTTAGGTATATTTTATGCAGATTTTCTACCAGTTTTAAATTGCCTTTTCATTTCTTATTAGTGTCTTTCAATGACCAGACGTTTGAAATTTTAATTAGATTTAACTTATCAACTTTGTCCTTTCGTAGTTGGTGCTTTTTGTGTATTGTCTTAGAACTTTTAGTTTATCCTGTCGTGGTGAGGTTCCCCTCCCCCTTATTCATGACAGAGCACATGCGTGTGCACACACAGATGAGAAATCTGGAAGAGAGGAGCACCCTCCACAGGGTCTGGGCATGCCATAATCCCCTTCTTCTAGTCTCTCAGATCGTGGGCACTCACGCACATGCCCAGCATGTTTCAGGCTGACCCAACCAGGGACTCGAACCCTCTGGTAACCACATGGGATCTGGTTTCACTTGAGTAGCACTTTACCTCTGCACTACAGCTAGCCCCAAATTGGGAAGTTTCATAGGTTTAGCTTTTATGTTTAGGTCTATGATCAGTTTTGAGTTAATTTTTGTAAATAACAAAGTAGAAGTTGAGGTTATTTTTCTGTTAAATTTGTTTTAATTTCATTTTAATTTTTGTAAGCTTGATGGTTATAAAACAGAATTTGGAAACACCTTACAGTGCTAAAAGGTGAATGAGCACCTAGGTTTCTGCCTCGCTGTCTCCCCTTTAAAGTGACAGTGTTAATACATAAGCCCTGGTTGCTTTAAAATCGATAACACACTGTGTCAATTATTGTAGATTGATAAGTCGTGAAATCAGGTAGTTTCATTGCTCTGGCTTCTTTCATCGTTTTCAAAAATGTTTTGCTTATTCCAGATTTCTTTTACTTTCAAGTAAATTTTAGAATCAGTCCATCAATTGCTACCAAAAAAAAAAAAAATCACAGTCTCCTAGGATTTTCATTGAAATTGCATTGAGGATGCAGAACAATTTGAAAAGAATTAGTACCTTAATATTGAGTCTTTTGATTTATAAATATGGCATATTTCTCCATTTATTTGGGTTCCTTTAAAATCGCTAAGTAATATGTTTTGTCAGTGTAAATTTCTTGAGTATATGTTGATAAATTCATCATTAAGTTGAATTTTACATTTGTGTCACTATTTTAAGTGGATTTTTAGATTTTTAAATTTCAGACCAGTTAGTGGTGTAGTAGTTCAGATGCCTGGATCTCACATGGCCAACTGAACAGTTTGAGTCCTAGACCCAGTGGCTTAAAAAACATGCCAGGGCACATGAGTGTGCCCAAAATCCCAAGGGGAGAATGGAGAAGAGATCACAGTGTGGTCATCCTCCTGAGGAATGATGCCTCACGTTCTCTCTCTCTCTCTCTCTCTCTCTCTCTCTCTCTCTCTCTCTCTGCCTGCCTCCCCTGTGAGCATGCATGCCCTAAAGCAATTTTATTTTTAATTTCCCATAGTTTTAGTTTTTATAGATATGCAATTGGCTTCTGTGTATTGACCTTGTTAAACTCATTTTATTAGGTCTAGTACTTTTTGTAGATTTCTTATGATTGTCTAGATAATTGCCTACATATACAAATAGAGAATTGCTTCTTCCATTGAAATCTTGTTGCCTTTTATTTCTTTTTTTAAAGAAGTATTTTATTTAACTTTATTTTATTTATTTATTTATTTGTTTATTTCCATTTGACCAGAGAAGGACAGAGTGAGAGAGAGAGAAAGAGAGCAAAAGCGAGAAAGCAAGCTGCCAGGCCCGGAACTCAAACTGTGGTCAGCCATGTGGGAGTGCAGCGCCTTAACCACCACACCACCTGCCAGCCCCTATGTCTTTTATTTCTTTGCCTTATTGTACTGGTTAGGATATCCAGTACAATAAAAGAGTAGGGGTAAGAATGGAGGTAATGGCTTTGTTCTCAATCTTAGCGAAAATGTATGAAATTGTCCTCCATCAGTTATGATGTAGCTTTTTTTTTCTGTAGATATCCTTTTTCAGGTTGAGAGTTTTTTGTTTTGTTTTGTTCTGTTGCTAAGTTGTTGAGAATTTTAATCATAAATTGTTATTGAATTTTGTTAAGTGCTCTTTCTGCCTCTAGTGAGGTGATCATAATTTTTCTCCTCTCTTCTGTTAATAGTGAATCACACCAATTGATTTTAAAACATTAAACTAAACTTTGATTCTTAGTCTAAACTCCATTTGGCCATAATGTGTTATCTTTTTGTTTTGGATTCAACTTGCAAATATTTTTGTATTAATATTAGTGTGGAATATTGGTTTCTAGTTTTCTTAAAATACGTTAATCTGGCTTTGGTATTAGGGTAATGCTAGTCTCTTAAAGTGAGTTGGGAAGTGTTTTTTCCTCTATTTTCTGAAAGAGTTTATATACAGATAGCATTATTTTTCCTTAAATGTTTGGTAGAACTCTCTAGAAATCCATTTGTGTTTAGAGTTTTTTTGTAGAAGGGCTTTGATTACGAATTCAAATTTCTTTTTTTTAAATTTACTTTATTTATTTATTTATTCTAAATTTTGACCAGAGAGGGATAGGGAGAGCGAAAGTGAGAGGAGAGTGAGAAAGCAAGCCACCAGGTGCAGGACTTGAACCGTGGTTGGCCATGTGGGAGTCCAGTGCCCTTAACCACCACGCCGTATGCTGGTCCCCTCAAACTTCTTTAATAGGTAAGAATGTTAAGATTTTCTGTTTCTTTGAGAGTTAATTTTAGGGAGTTCATTTCACCTCAGAATATATTGGCATGATACAGTTTGATTTATTTCCTTACTATTATTTTTGTGTTTGTAGAGTTGTAGTGAAATCTGCTCTTTCATTCAGGATATTAGTCATTTATATCTTCTTTTTAAAGTTAGCCTAGAGATTTGTAATTTTATTGATTTTTTT